ATGCGAGTTACGTATAATCAAAGAGTCAAGCGTGGTCAAGGGTGATGGTTCGTAATAGCGAGGGTTATATATTGGGGGCGTGTCGTAGAAGGGCGTCAAGGATTACCTCGGTGTTTCTGTCGGAGGCGACTGCAGCAGTCCACGTCGTGGAGTTTGCGCTTGATTTGGGGCTCTAGAATGTCACTATTGAAGGTGATACGAGATATGTGATTGAAAAGTTCGCCTCGTCGGAGCCTGACCGCTTGGTTTTAAGTGCTCTGATCTGGGAGGCGCGCAACCGAGCTTCTGCCTTTCGTGCATGTTCCTTCCAATTCACTCCGTTGGAAGGTAATCGGGCTGTTCATCTCCTAGCAGCTGACAAGGGACTGTGCTCCGAGGACCGGTTCTGGGTGGAAGAGGGTCCACGCTGCGTCGAGGTTCGGGCCTCGAAAGGTCGAAGGTGGATTGGTCCTCCTTAGTTGCTGTTGTTACTCATCTATTGTTTTGATAGGCTCTATCGTTTCTTGTTCACTCCTTGTCGTTTGCTTTTCACAGATTATTGGCGATGGTGCAAGGAAGAGGAAAGCTAGCCTAATGTTTTTCTGTCATTTTTGCTTATTAAGGACATGTTAGTTTTGTTTCATTCATTACTTTACAGCTGTTTCACACTTTTGGACACATTATGTTTTTCGTTTCAATAAATGGCTATTATTTTTGTGGCTCAAAAAACTTTAGATATTTATTCATCACATTAAATTGTAAAGGACATATGATTTATATATAGATTTTTAAAATAATTTTTTTATTAATATGTGGTAAATATAGGTTATTATTTATTCAAAATTTCTCAATCATTTGATATTGAACACTTATATTCCTACATATATGGTGCTCAACTCGGATTCACAATAAATAATAATAATTTATTAACAATTTATATCTCTTAATTCGTACTTTAATTAGATACTTAAATTTATTATTCAAAATTCATTTCCTTATAGTGTGTATCACACACTTGAATATATTTTTTAAAATCAATATATGATTTACAAGTTTAATTATCATTTGAATTTAGATTTTTAAAATTAAATTAATATATTACTAAATTTAAATATCTGAAGACTATATTTATGTAATATTTTTGAGCTGATTTAACTTAATTTGATTTGAATTGTTGTTGGTACAATATATAGTAAAATATAATACTAAACATGTTTAAACTCTTAATATCACTCAATTTATGAGTAAAAATATTTAAGTAGTATATAGTGTAGCTCGAACTAAGTTACCTAAGTGATTAAAGAAACGATTATTATCTTTAGAGGTATCAGATTCAAGCATATCATCATTAGATTAATAAAAAAAGGTACTAGTATATAGTGTATAAACACTCCTTATTAACCACTAAATCTACTTAATGAGTTCAAGATGGATTTATATTTAAAGCTTCTTATTTGAGATAAAAATATATATATAAGGGTAAATTGCATCCATAGTTATTGGGTTATTAGGAATAGGGTAAATTACACCAGATACCATCATACTTTAGGCATTGTATCATTTATATCATTGAACTTTTAATTTTATCAATTATAGCACTGAACATTGATTTTTGTTTTAATTATACCATTGGGCCGTTAAATCATTAACAATCAGTTCAAAAAGATATCGTTTTGATGAGGTGTCTACGTCAATATTTATCAACCATGTATTCGTGTCGTTAACGGTTTAATAGTATAACTTGAACGAAAATAAAAGTTTAGTGCTATAATTAGAAAAATTAAAAGTTCAATGGTATAAATGATACAACACCTAAAGTTCGATGGTATCTGCTCTAGTTTACCCTTAGTAATATTATGTTTCCATCACAAAATTTTAAACATTAATTTTTCATCACTAAATGTATCATTTTTATCATCTCAGCCACTTTGTCTTGAGCTCTTAGGGGGCGTTTGGTTAGGGGAATATGGGGTTGCAATGGGAATAGAATTCACATTCCTCCGTTTGGTTAGCCGGGAATCTCATTCCCGGTAATGTAAGATTACCAATAGTGAATTTTTGGGGGTATATTACCGGGAATGTCATTACCTCCATTTTCTTAGGTATTGTCGGATTACCGGCGTTTTGGACTAAAATGCCCTGAATTTTTCCCCCCGAAAATATCATTCTTCTGTCATTGAATAATACAAATTCTATGAAGGTTAAATAACAAATTTATCCTTAAACTATTTTCGATTTACAAAAAAAGTCTATAATTAAAATTTTATATGAAGTTCAAAGGTTAAAATAAAATTTTACCCTTTCATTAAACCTTTTTATATTTTCAATTTTATACAAAAAATTATATAAATTTTTTGAATTTAATTTTTTTAAAGAAAATATATAAATATTTTCCAACTTGTTAAAAAAATAAATATGTAATAAGGAGAATTTGGTCAAATATACATTTCAATAATCTTTTATTCCTTTAACCAAACACGGTAATCTTACATTCCTGCTAAACCAACCAAACACAAAATACAACATTCTCAGTAATCCTATTCCCTGATAATCTTACATTCCGTGAACCAAACGCACCCTTAAGAATACGACGTGAACATTAAATAACTGAAATAATAACAGATTTATCCTTTAATATTTATACATTTTATTAATTCATTTCATAATTGCAAAAGTGACTATTAATATTTTTCATATTTTTTTAATTCAGAAAATTAAACAAAATCCGTCTTTTATTTTTTATACATTTTATTAATTCAATTCACAATTTTTTGGGGGGCTATCCTATCGGGCCAAGAAAACCCATTAGATGTGCATGGATTTACTTTCAAGAGAAGATTGGGTTTGAACAAGTGGATTAAAGTTTTAGGGCCCGTTTTCAGTAAAATGAATTTGATGCACCTCTGCTGCATTGTGGAGATTTAAAGGGTTTGAAAATTGAAGAATTTTTTTATTAAGAATTCATGGAGGTGTTCTATAATATTAGATTTATTTATTTTCGGATTTAGAAAAATATTTGAATTAAAGTAGTAGAAAATGATGTACACGTATGAAAGAGGTAGACCTTTCATGGCAATAACAGTTGGGTAAATTCAATTAATGCCCATTCAAGTTTCGCCACTTGCCTCTATCCATAGTACTCCCCTAAACCCTACCACATGGGTTCTTTTGAACTTTTTACTCTTAACAAATAAATGTTCACCGTTACGTATTATATGAATCAATAATTAAAAGAAATAGTTTAAAGATGTAAGAAGCCTTTAAAGTTTTGAAGAAAAAAAGAGAGAATTCGTCCGTCAAAAAACAAAGTTTTGATGAAAAACATTCATTCAACTTTTACTTTTTGTCTGCACCAATTAAGTTTATAAATCTTAAAATTTTATAAAAGTAATATTTAAAAATTTCTAACAACTTCAATAAATTCAACATATACTTACACATAAAACGAATCTAAATAATTTTCAACGTTTATGTTTAAAAATTTAATCATTTTTAGTTTTAACAATTTAATTATTTTTAATGTTTGTTTTTTCCTAATTTTTTTCATAAAAATTATATATATATATATATATATATTAAAGAAAATGGGTCTCGTTAGAAACCCCTTCTAAGACCTATAAATAAAAAAAAAATAGTGCTCTTGGACCTTGTATTACCATAAGGAGAATCATCGTAATAATCTCAGGATAAACCGAGTCAAAGCACAAGACATTTCCAGAACAAAGAACCAACTTAACCAAAGTACGTGTCATAATATTACAAACTCTAAGAACAAAACACACTTAATATTTTTAAATTATCATCTATTTTTTTTTACTTTATTATTACTTTTATGGCATAACAATATTTTAACAACTTATTGTTGCATTATGACATAATATAATTATCCAATTTGACATGATCACTTGATTTTACATTATCATTAAAAAATTAAGTCTAAGTAATCTTTAAATATGAATAATTAAATTTATTAAATTATTTTAAATTAGTATAAAATTCATAGAATGTATAAATTTTATGGGCTAAAATTAAATGTCACACATATAGTAATTTTAGAGAAAACTGTTGACTTATTTGTTACAGAACCTATAAACAAGTGACTCTGGGTGTAGTTTACCCTTGCTTTTAAGGCAAACTGATGGGGCAATGTAGCACTTCAATACATAAAAATATCTTCTGACTTTAAATATAGATTGAAATTTTGGGTTTGGTTGGCCAACCAGTGTCACTCAGTTCCACTTCATTAACTATTTGGTTATAAATTGGTGGGGTTCTCCACTTCTTCCACTATTGTGCATCTAGGTTTAAATTTATTAAATTTCATTTTATATCAAAAAATAAATACAAATGAAATTATGGGTTTAATATTTCTGTCTCCATTTATGCTTTCTTGAACATACTTTTCAAAATGTCGAGTCATGATTTGTTGTCCTTAAACTAAATCATGTCCTAATTGAAAGCAACTTCAGACATAGAAGGCCAAAGTGTAGCTTTCTAATTTTTTTTATTAATTTGGAATAAATACAATGTAGTATTTATTTAAATATAATCTCAACTATTTAATATTAAACGCTTACATTCTTGATATTTTTAGTACTCGAACAAGAGACTTCAATAAATTACAACGATTTTTTTATCAACGAGATCGTTTAGTTCGTGCTAGCTTTCTAATTCGTCTTCACCAAAGCATGCAAATCCATAGAAACACTTGTAAATTCCAAAAACCAATTTGATTTTAAACACACTTCTCCCCTAATGCGATCAATGTTTTTTTGTGTTTAATGGCGTGTGAGCTTCTAATTTCTTACTCTGCATGCAAGAGTTTTACGATACGTAACGAGGATTAAAAGTTGAATTAATTGTGAACACAATCCCGGTTCTTATCGTCATTACGAAAACTGATTTAGCGTCTTATTTTATGAGAATAAAAAATGGGCTGCTGATTCATAAATGCTTTGTATTTACACCACAAAACTTCCCCCTCGCTCGTTAAAACCCCACTTCTTTCATCTGCAACATTCAATGCAGCCTTTTACGTTTCAAACCATTTGCTTGTTTTGTCCCTCTTTAAGATATTTTCTCCCGATGTTGAAGGACTGGGTTCCAGGAATATCAGAGGTTGCGTTTAGATGTGTTGAAGCTTTTTCTTTCCGGTTTTTTGCTGAAATGAGAGATCTTGGTGTTGGCTTCTTGTTTAAGCTGATGAGCAGATCGATCTTCGCCGTTTTCATCTGCATTTTTGCTTTAGGTATGTGCTTTCTTGTCAGTCAAAAAGCTTGGGTTTTGCTGCAGATTTTTTTACTCTGATTTTGTAGGAGGGGCGATAGTGGGAACTGTCGTCGGAGCAATGAAAGGGCAGACGACGGAAACTGGGTTTTTCCGGGGAGCTGGAATCGGAGTTGTCACCGGAGCAATCACAGCCGTTCAATTGCTGGAATCATTGGCTGATGGGGAGTCATTGTCTAAGGTCACTAGTTGCATTAATTTCATCCTCGCTGTAGTGGAAAATTTTGCTATTTTAACCAACCCTTCCTTTTACTACAGGTAGCCTTATTGGTTAGCTTAGTGAATGGGAAAGTTTTCATTGAATGGGTGAGTCCAGCAGTGCTAAAAGCATATCAATGGCAGGTAAATCAATTTTCTCAGTGACCAAACAATATTATTGTTACGCTTCAGGCAATGCTTAAGCTGATGAAAATTTTACAGATGAATTCACTCGAATCGACGTACAGAGAAATCTCGGACATATACGATGTAAATGGAGGAAAGGGTTTATCGAGAAGTTGCATTCAAAAGCTTCCCATGCATGAATTTCGATCTACCGATATGATCAAATCAAGGAACGAATCTGCTTGTTCGATTTGTATACAGGTAATGTTTCGGAAAGATCGAAACCGCTGCATACGGAATTCGAATCTCAATATCTGTAACTATTTTTTACAGGGACTAAAAGAGGGAGAAATGGCAAGAAATCTTCCGAGATGTGGGCACATGTTTCACTTGAAGTGCATAGATGAATGGCTAAGCAGGCAAGGGACTTGTCCCATGTGTAGAGAGCATGTTCTCAGGGATGATGGTGAATTGTAAGGCAAATTTATTTTTAAAAACCCCAAATAAATAATTATTTAAAAAAATAGGGACCTCTAGAGATTATTTGAAAGAATAATCACCAAATCGTTCACATAAGATGACCTCGATGCCTGCAAACCACGTGTTAAGTCATCGCACCCTCCAACATATAAGATACATCCGACGTAGGCGCACTTTCCAGGTAAGCCGATAAAACAATTGGATAAAATGACCTTGCGTATTGCGAAGCGCGAGGTAGCCTTTATGATCCAAAATATCGTGAGATTTATAGGGGACATCGCAGCCTACAAAGCGCGATGTTCTTTTGGATTCCCTAACCCCTTTTAGTGTCCACAGCCTTGTTCAGAAATTATTTTCGGGTGGAAACTATTTTTTTAATTTTTAATTATAAACATATAGTGTTACAATTTATCTTTAAGGTGATTTTAATATCAATATATATATAAGACATTTTAAGCGTAGTGATTTCATAATTTATATGTTTAGATGTATAGCATTGCAACTTATGTTTATATTAAGGTTAATTTGGCCACAAACAAGATATTTTAACGAGGATAAAAATCGTGTTGGAAAAAGTTGGAATGCATGATTTGATGCATGAAGAAATCAAAAGAAATTGAAAACTAAGAAATATGTGTTGTTAATTTAAAAAAAGAAATAATGCAAAAAACCCATTTAATTGATACATTGGCCTGAGCAATTGGGACATTTGTTATTCATGCGTCTGAGATTTTTACATATAAAACATAATTTCGGTTGTTCGGTTCTTTCTTGATGTTCTACCAAATCCTTGTTACAAAAAATCCGGGTTGACCGATGACGACCGATTTTTTTCGTCGTAGTGCATAATCTGATCGTATTATAAGTTCATCATCAGATTCATTCGGATCTTATTGATTTCCAATGGAAGGGAACTCATATTCATAAACTTTGAATATAATTTCAAGTAAGTAAACCCGATCAATGAATCTCACATAGGGTATCCAGACAGAAGAAGCAGCAGCAATGGTGTGTGCACATGAGTATTTGAAAGTTTGGAAGAATCCACACGCTCATGTTTTTTCTCGTAAATTAACCACGTATACGTTGTGTTGTATGCCTTCCAATGGCATCGCAAATTCTGATACACTGAATAATGGCATTTCACGAGAAAAGCATATGGCACCCATCGCGTTGGAATGTTGTTGGAATGTTTGCAATTTTCTAAGGGGGTATGGGTGGATTTGGTGGCCACCTGCCATCCAGTTAATTGCTTGCCTTCCCAATGTTGCGAAAAAAGTTGTCAGATGATAATATGTCGCTTTGAAAATGAACGTGATAAGCAAAAGGTGCACTCCTTTTAGTGATGAATTTATTATCTCGGCCAAGTTCGTTGTCATGTAACCATAATGTCTACCCCATCAAATGATTGAATCCATTTCTCATTTGGGATTCTAGCAAGGTAGTTGAAGCCCTCAAAATTCATGTATCAAAGTTCCTACATCAGGTCCTCAAACTCACATACGAACTGTGTGTAACATACAAATAAAAAGTGGAACAATTCATTTAAAATAATTTTTGTAAAGTTATGGTAAACCGAAAAGGGTGAAATACGTACCCATTCAAAGAACCATTAGACGCTCATCTTGACTCTTGAACTTCTACAAATAGTTTGCGGTAATATGTCATAAATGGTACCAGTGATAAATATTGGGGGGTTGGCAAGACAGGCCCATACGACAGACTGTGTATTTGATACCAATATCTATACCAGAAATAAGACAAATCCCATAATCTCTATCCTACATCACATGTGATAGAAAATATGTTTGTAAGTTAGTAAGAAAGAATTCCCAAGAGTTGATATATTCCTTTTCGATAATTACGAAGGCGATGGGAATATTTTTTATGTTGTCGTATTGTGCAATCGACAATAACATTATTTAAGTGTATCGACCATATAACCAAGTTTTGTCGATTTGAACAATTGGCTTACAGTGTCGGAATGCATTAATGCATTACGAAAAAGTCCAAAAGAGCCGGTAGAATTGGCAGACACCTTGTACAACACGAACAATTTTGTACGCCGAAACTGTTTCTAATTTCACAGCTGTTTTCGGAATGTGTTTCTACATCAGTTTAAGTCATGGCCGCAATTCATTGTATGATTCCTCCTATTGATAACAATTTTTGTTGGGCCCAATACCTTGCATACCATGCTTTGTGGTAGTCAATTGTGTACCCGTATAGAGATGTAATTGAAGCAATACTGGTCGCAACTGTAACACTTGGATTTGATTTGAGCAATGGAATGAAGGCTTCAGAAAGCACGTGCACATTCAAGTTAAGATGATCTTGATTCAGGATATTGGCAGTGCATGTACGTGGTTGGATGTTTTGTGTGAGTTTCCAAAGGTTGTTCACCGTCTTCAATTGTGATACATGAACCCTCCAATTACATCCATTCTTCTTGTGGAGACATTCAATGATGTACTTATCCACATCAATTTTTTCTCAATTGACGTGATGGAGTGATGTATGTTGTAGTTCTTGATTACAGCCACAACTTGTTCTTTTGTCCTAAAATTCATTCGTAAAAAAAGTAAATAAAATTGTCAACTTACCAATAAACAAATTAAAATAAATAATGAAAAATTAAAACATTATATTAACCTGAAAACTATTTCAACATAGAGATCACCATCATTACGTTGATTGTATTGATCAATGTGTTGGAATTGGGAAACTTTCGCAGCATTGAATACTTCAATATCAATTGTTGTAAAGTGCAATGGTGCCTGATAATAAGAAATAGGCGTTGCAACATGTGGAATCGTTATAGCCGCGCCATATTCTTCATTTTCTTCCGCTTTTGGTGGCATGTCAAGGTTTTCTGGTTCTTCACATAAGGGGCCTAACTCATCAACATCAGAGCCAATCTCCCTTATTGGTTCTTCGTTAGAATGATCCCCCTCAAAGTGGAATATTTCAGCCTCGGTTAAATTAAAGTTAGCCGCTGCAGCAGGTGTTTGTTGATCACAAGACCGCTCACGAACCGATTCCCCAAGATCAACGTCACTTACACCAATAAAAGAATGTCTCCTCATATGTGTTGAGGCGTCATCCACAACAGGGATATACGTTGACTATTGTCCAGATGGGAAATCATCGAATGTGTATTTTTGCGTTGGTGTAATTTTTAAGTAAAACTCGAATCTAGCAACACAAGAATGTTTTGGCATCGAAGTCGATGATACACCAAAATCATTATGTGTACCGTGTGTACTTAACAAATTGAAGTCATTTCTCAAATTTGTTGTTGGACTGTCAATAGTTGGATCAAAGTCGAACTCAGCTCGTCTCCAACTTGGTACACTGGTACCATCATCAGTATCCGAAAACAACGCATACAACTCCATCGGCCCTCCAAATGAATATTGCAAGTGAGCGTCGACCATCATTTTCACATCACCATTGTCCTCAACGGTGTCGGCAGTCGATACTTCAAGGGTAACAATTTTGTATCGCAAGCATGTGGGATATTTTTCTTCACTTCCTTCATCAACTTGTTATACGTCAACTTCGTTGGTAACATTATTGTAACAGTGTGTGCGGATTGAAATACGACACAGAGAGATGCATCGTCGACCATTTTGCTATCGTAATATACCAAAGCAGTAGGCTATCTCTTCTCGTTTAGCTGAGTTGTTGCCCGATAATATTGACATGTGGTTTATTTATTGTTGAAGAACCTCGTGAGTTGCAAGACGCAAATTTCAAATAGTTCGCGTATTGCAGGGTGCGAGATCCTGTTATCTCATGTTTTGCAAGATGCATGGTTCTGCTAATGTACAATAGATATCGCAGGTTACAGGGTGCAAATTTTACTGAAACCTATTTTTAATTTATTAGGAAAATAACTCGAAAGATGAATCGACTAATGAAAAATAGTTAGCATAACTAAAAATTGTTCAATAAATGTCGGTAGTCAATTAACTCAAAATAAAGTAGTTTAGTATAAAATAATAAAATAATTCGTATAACATAAAATATTTTCATTAACACAAAATAAAATATTTTATTACAAATATTTTAGTTTTTAAGAACGAAATAAAGAATAACTAATAATGCCTATGCCCACTAATTTTGCATCGTAGTGGACAACGAGTCCGACACGGACGTAATCGTGGTTCATCTTCAGCAATATCATCATCATCCGGACCAACAACTATATATGGAATTGATCTACCACTGGCACTGGAACCGGGATCGGTGTAGAATATGCTCTATGGCGGCATCTGCTTAACAATACCAAATCCAAAGTTAGCCGCCAATTGTGTCGGTGGTGAATTCAATTGTCAAAGACGTCGGTGAGGAAACCGTCCGAGAACTGCTCCATTTACTGAAATGCTCATTGAGTCGAGTGGGTGAAGATAGGGTCAGGGTGTGTTAGGGGTGTCTAATGAGGTCCTTGTGTTGTTGTCGATAAGGAGGATGCACATTGTTATCTTCTTCTTCTCTGCCTTGACTCCCCCCACGTTGCCTCCCCGTCCGTGGGAGACTTTGTGGAAGAACATATAATTCTCGCGCTCGCTCCTCATCGGTCAATATATGCCCATATAACTCATACCACCGCATATAATCGTATGTCATGTTGTGGTCGAAGTTGGGTTGAGTCATGGGTGTCCTATCGAATCTTCAGACCAACTCATTCAAATACACCACATTATGGTCTGCCCAATTATTTTTCGTCTTTCCTTGTCACGTCAATCGATGCAATTTATCCAAGTAAGGTGGATATGACAGAGTCGATTGGACACAATTAAATTGTTGAAGAACGCACTCAGTAGGATGCCACTCGACTATCTCATACAAGATTAACAGGACTGTCACGATGTACATGGGCACATTACTAGCTAAAATCTCATGCAATATACAATCAACAATAGCATCATCGTAGTTAAGCGTCCACAAGAACTATATAATTAAAATTACATAACTTTATTAGCTAAACACCTCAAATAAATTAAATTATTCTAAAATTATAAGATAAAAGCCAAAGGAAAATATTTTATTACATGATGTCCAAACTTATCGATCAATAGTATGAAGTCTCATTGATGTGTTGGTAAGTAGCCATGAGATGTTTCATCAATCCATCTATCATTAATACAATAAAATTGTATTATTAGTTAGAAATATTATAAAAATAGATAACAATTATTTTTGTACCTCTTAAGTAACGAAAATTCATATGAGACATGTGTTTTAAGGATCGAGCATAAAAATTGCATTCGGATCCAGGCTCACGACTGCATCAACAATAAACACCATCCAATGGCATTTTTCGTCGGATCTACGACTCTACAAAGTTTTTGGAACAAAAATGCCAAAACTACCGACCCCCAACTTATATTTCTTGAATCACTCAAATTTTGCAAGTGATTCAACCACATCAGATGCACCTTATTTCGGGATTTGTCTGGCATTAAAATCCCCCAATAACTCGTAGTATATGTGCACGAGCAAATCGCTTCAAAAATTTAATAAAATAATATAACTACTTAATTTCTAAATAAATAAATAAATAAATTGAAATATTAATAAATATTCATAGATAAAAACATTTATATTTACATCCTTAACTTCATGCTCAACATTCTGGGGTAGGTTCGTAAAATTTTCATCCAAAAATTTAATTTTTATTTTTCTACCATTGCGTGTATCATCATGCAGATCAATTTCGAGCAATATCTCACATACGTTTCTAGGGACGTCGACAACACCAGTAATAGCTACTTCATCAATAGGCAGCCCCAGATGAAATGCAACATCTTGCAAGGTAATAGTTTCCCCCCACACGGTAAATGAAATGTGTGCGTCTCTGGTCTCAATCTTTCCTCCAACGCATTGATAAGTGGAAGATGCAACTTCACACCATCACCAATTATACTACTGATATATCTAAAATCAGCTAAATGTAAATACTCAATACTATCCGCATCGGACAATGTCACACGATTTATATGACACTCTAATACACGTTCATATCACTACGAAATATAAATATTAAAAAATTAATTAAATTCCCAAACAAATTAACTAAATAAATAAATAGTAAAGAATTGAAATAATATTAATTAATTTACCTCATAATTTCGCCTCCAATAATCGAATACGTGACTTCGATCATGTATTAATAGACTCGTCGCCATAATATGAAATATTTGAATATATAAAAGGGGTGGGTGTGATGATGAAATGAGTGGAGGACCCAATTTATAGCCCTTCTCACACCCGAGGAAGCGCAGTTTTAAATGCAACCCGCGTGTTGCTAGACGCGAGGTACTGAAAACACGCGAAAATCCCAGCACCTTAGCGTTTTGTAAGACTCGAGATTGCTTTAACTCAAATTTAAAATTCAAAATATCAAAATATATTATAATTATTTTTTATGAAATATTTGTTTTAATTATTATATTTTAATTATTTATTATTTATTATATTTAATATTTAATATTATTAATTATTATTATTATTATATTTATTATAATATATTTTCATTATTTGAAATTTTACCAAATATATTATAATTATTTTTATAAAATTTCTATTTTAATTACTATATTTATATATTATTATATTTAAATTATTTATTATATTTAATAATTAATATTATTATATTTATTTATTATAATATGATTTTATTTCTATGTTTCAAATTAGGTTGTTATACGGAATTCGAAAGAACCTCGCGTTTTGCAGGCCGTGAGATCCCTTATAAATCTCGCGATATTTTTGGATCATAAAGGCAATATCACGCTTCATAATGCGTGAGATCATTTTATCAAATTGTTTTATTGGCTTACCTGAAAAGTGTACTAACGTCATATATATATCGCGTGTTGGAGGGTACGAGGATTTAACATGCGGTTTGTAAGCCGTGAGGTCATCCGATTGGACGATTTGAGGGTTATTCTTCCAAATAATATTTGGAGAGTCCTATTTCTTTAAATAATTATTTATTTGAGATTTTTAAAATAAAATTTTCAAATTGTAAATCATGGAACTTCGATTCACCAAAAATTAAGGGTTTTCTTTTTTAAGTTGTGAGTTGTGCCAATCTACCCTTTGAGAGAGAGAGAGGAGAGAGAGAGAGAGAGAGAGGAGAGAGAGAGATATGTATATATAGAATTATAGACCATTTGGAGGATTTTGTAGCAACTTTTTGTTATTTCAAATGTCATATAAATAGTTACTAAAGTATTTGTCATTGGGACTTAAGTAGAAGTATTAGATATGAGTGTATTTATTTACCTTTAAGAAATTTATATATTAAAAAAATTAAATACTAATGAAATAATCATAATAATATTAGGTGTAATATTAATGATCACCTAGTTATATAACGGTTTCAATTTAATTAATCATCTATTATTTTTTTAATAATGTAACCTAACTATTTAAATTAAGATTTTAAATGAGTTAAAATAGATCACGAGTTATTCGTGTTCGACCCGGTCAAAGTTTGATCAACACTGGAATTAAATGGAATTAACTTAAGTTCTTAACGAGTTAAAATGAGCTACTTAATACCCAATTTGAAAAGCTCACGAGCAACTCAAAAAATAATATATTAATTTTTAATTTTTAAATTAAATTATTAATATTATTAACATTTATGTTACAATATAAAGTTTTCATGTACATAAGATTGAGATTCAAACTCGAGTTCAAACTTGAAGTGAACTCGATTTTAAGCTTCAATCAAGCGAAGTTTGAGTATATTTCAAGTTCAAGTTTTTTCGAGTCGAGCTCAGCAATACTCATCTCGACTCGTTTGCATCCCTAATCTAAATGATATTTATTAATTATTATTATTTGAATAGCTAGAGTGATTACAATGTATTATTTGTTTAGAATATTTTTTCACCATTAATAATTCACACACACCCTATATATCAGTTTCACAAACTCCAACAATGTAGAATAACATTTTATTGTACACTGAAACTACTCAATGAGTTCACTTAAACTTACCTCTTAAATAATATAATAACAATAATATTAAATGAGAGTTAGTGGACTCAATTTAATTTTGATATAATGATAAACATATCATAATATTTGATTAAATAATCAATTTAGTGTGTGTATGTATATGTATATATATATTGAATTATCTGACCTTCAATGTTTTATTTTAGAATAAAGACCTCTTCGTAAATAAAAATCGTTAATCAATGAATAGTTAACATTCTAAAATAATAATTTTTTTACCATAAAATAAAATATTTCGGAAGTCAAACACTCCAAAAAAAAGAATAAAACTAAAATAATTATTTAATCAAACATTAAAAATATTTTTATTTTAATATGAAACATTCAAATTAAAATACCCCAATGAAAATATATGAAATACAACATCTATTTTATCAAATGTTAATAGACATTTTTTAGCATTATTACTTTAATTTTTTAAACTAGTGTCGCAACCGTCTTTCGGTTGTGCCCCGGAATTGGGCTTCGACTTAAAAAATATGGATTGGAGTCGCCACCGATCATTTATTTAAAAATAAATGGGTTGATCGGATACCCTATTTCTTACCTGATCTGCGTCTTACCAGAAATATGTCGGGCTCGGGAGTCGGTTACGGTCAAGGAAGGATTAGCACCCTTGAACCGCCCTTTCGGTACTACGTAATTTCCAGTTGTCTTAATTAAGAAAAATAACAAGTTAAATTAAAAGGTAAAGTTTCGATCCTAATTACTTACCCTTGATTGATTTGAAAATATCCTTTAAAAAAAATCGAGAAATGTGTAGATAAACAAGGTAAAGAAACAAATAAGATACAAGGGAAAATAAAATAAATAAAATAAATAAGTAAGATAAGAAAAAAATAGTAAAGTAATAATTATATATAGTAATATTTGAAAAAAGGAAAAATATATATATATATATATCAAGTATTAATAAAATAAATAAGCTATATATATACACCAAATACTTAAAAATAAAAAAGATACCCTCCCAATTCACCGAAAGTGGGGAGTTTTAGTAAGAAATAAGACAAAAAAATGGGTCCTCTAGGTTAGTAATATATAATATAATGTTTAATAATAATAATGATAAGGATACAAGGTTTTTTTTTTAAAAATAAATGTATAATAATAATGAATAAAAAACGAAAATAATAAAAATAATATAAATATAAAAGTTATAAGATATATTACATAAATAAAGAAATAATCAAATAAAAATAATTAAGAATATATATTTAATATAGGTATATAGATAACTATTAAAAGTATAAAAGATATATGACTAATAAAGATAATTACAATATATATATAGTAATATTAGACTTATAAGTAAATATTAAGAAATATATATATATATATAATAATAATAAAATATAGTAAAAAATAAATAAAATAATTTAATATATATATATATATAATAATAACATGAATAATAAAAAATGAATAAAATATCCATATAATAAATAAAGGGACTAATATAGATTTTTAAAAAGCTCTTCCCCTCCTTTAACCGAAAATTAAACCGATTTTTAAAAAATAAGCCTCGGGGTAGATCTAGGTTCGAAACTTCGAAACCCCACCCATTTTGGTCATCGGCACAACCCACGTTTTGGGTTATTCGAACCAAATCTCAAGAACAATAACGTGCACATGCAAAAGAAATAAAAAAGAAAATGCTACCTTTTATTTCCTTTTCGAATCCTTTACAATAGCTTTGCCTTTGTATCTTCCCGTGCTTTCCTCTATGTTTTGTGTGTAAATCGTGTGTTACAATGGTGAGTTACAATGGCTATTTATAGTGCTTGTGGATCCTATCTTTAGGAATTTAAATCTTAGTAGAATTCTATCCTATTTTTAGGAGTTTGAATCCTAGCAAAATGTTATCCTATTTTTAGGAGTTTGAATCCTAAAATTCTATCCTATTTTTAAGATTTTGAATCCTAGTAGGACGAAAAATGTGTGTTGACAGCTGCCCCTCTTTGCCCATAGTCGTGTAACGGGGATAGGGCAAAGATTAAAAGACACACTTTTCGTTCAGTGGAGTTGAAAATTAACTCTGATGTTTCAATAACTCCCTCTTGAATTGAGTTACGGATGACTCCTCCATCGTGAAGTCGAGTTCATCTTGAAATGATATGAAATTAAAGCCGTAGTTCAGAATTTGAATCAGCACGTGGCTTCCCGTTACCCTTCGGTCTTCTTCTCGGGTTTAAAGACCTTGGATCGGAATCGAACTCAGAAATCTTCATTGACAGATAGCTTTTTCTTGACTTAAGCTATGCTGTTTGAAAATGGTTGCTTGTCACTAAGGCACGGCTAACCCAGGTCCTCTTCTCGACTTGAAAACCTCGACTGCAACCGGAAAGTAGTGCGATAGATGTGTCATCGAGCTGAATGGAGTTGAACTCGACAATTTTGATGGCAGATAATCCTTCTTTGAGTTGGATATCCTTCATCGTGAAGTTGAAATCCAAGTAGGTAGCATTGTTCCAAGTCCAATATCCTCCGTCGTGAAGTTGAAATTGGCTCTGGAACCGGGAAATTGTTTGTTGACAACCAGCCGTCCCTTCGTTGTGAAGTTGAACTTGTGTTGTCTCGAGTCCAATATCCTTCGTTGTGAAGTTGAAATTGAATCTGAATGAAATTTTGTTGACAAGCAGCGGTCCCTTCGTCGTGAAGTTGAACTTGCGTTGTCTGGAGTCCAATATCCTTCGTTGTGAAGTTGAAATTGGCTCTGAGATTGGGAAGTTGTTATTGACAAGCAGCGGTCCATTCGTCGTGAAGTTGAACTTGCATTGTCTGGAGTCCAATATCCTTCGTTGTGAAGTTGAAATTGGCTCTGAGATTGGGAAGTTGTTGTTGACAAGCAGCGGTCCCTTCGTCGTGAAGTTGAACTTGCATTGTCTGAAGTCCAATATCCTTCGTTGTGAAGTTGAAATTGGCTCTGAAATTGAGAAGTTGTTGTTGACAAGCAGCGGTCCCTTCGTCGTGAAGTTGAATTTGCGTTGTCTGGAGTCCAATATCCTTCGTTGTGAAGTTGAAATTGGCTCTGAAATTGAGAAGTTGTTTGTTGACAACCAGTCGTCCCTTCGTTGTGAAGTTGAACTTGTTGACGATATCCTCGTCGTGAAGTTGAAATCGCGGATGGCCCCTTCGCTGTGAAGTTGAGCCTTGACAATATCCTTCGTCGTGAAGTTGAAATCCAAGTATTGTATGTTACGGGTGGACACAATTCCCTTCGCCGTGAAGTTGAAACCGTGGAGACCCCTTTATTGTGAAGTTTGGCTTCGAGCTAGATATCATTCGTCGTGAAGTTGAAATCCACTCTCGAGCAAATCGTGTCGCTTTGAGTTCAATATCCTTCGCCGCAAAGTTGAAATTGACTCTAGCTAAAACCTGAAAAAGTTATGCATATATGTGATGCTATGGATGCAATGCTCTTAGGTGTGCCTAAAATGCATATGCAACATATGTTATCTTGGGGCTTTAGAGAGAAATCTCGATCTCCAGTTGCCTGTCTGGAATCTTGATTCTTGAATCTTCAAATTTTGATCCCTAATCTTGAATTCTTCAAATGTTCAAATCTGATGTGCACATTCTATTTTTGATTTGAGAATGCTTCTCGACCATCTCAAGTATGTGCCTGAGCTGAGTGTAACGGTTCAGATGATGCTTCAAAAGAAGTTGTCTTGAAAGAGATAGAATTCGTTTCAAGAGAAACGATCTCAAAGATATCTGTTGTTTCATGAGAAACGGTCTCAAGGGAAACAAAATTATGTTTTAAGGGAAATAAATTTGAAGATTTTTTGTTTCAAGAGTAACTGTCTCAAGATAGACGAAAATTGATTCAAGAGAAACTATCTCAAGAGAGACAAAACTTAGTTCCAAAAGAAACTGTCTCAAGGGAGACGAAATTTGTTTCAAAGAAAACATATTCAAATATTTTGTTTCAAGGGAAACTGTCTCAAGATAGACGAAATTTGTTTCAAGAGAAACTGTCTCAAGAGAGACAAAATTTATTTCAAGGGAAACTGTCTCAAGAGAGACAAAACTCTTCTAGTGAAAACGGTCTCA